TGGCCGGGAGCAGCCACTGCACTCCAGTCTGGCGACAGAGTGAGACTCCAACTCAAAAAAGAAAAAAAAGTTCTTTTGCCATCACTTTCTATTATTTAAGATAAAGGTGATTTCTAGAAAGAAAGTATTTTCATTTTACCTTTTGAATAAAATGTGTAACAGAAAGAGACCCTAAAAAGTTCTGTAACAGACAATTCTACTTCTTACTTGTCCACCCCAAGTCCCCCATATTCAGGACTGGATGAAGATTAGTTTCTAGTGAGAAGGGGGAGGGTATGATCAAAATGAGTCTAATGTAAATGAAACTTGTTAAAAACAGTGCTACTGTTAAGCTAATAGAATGCTGAACTGTCAAACCCTTTTAAGACTTAGGCAAGAGCTTTAGTATGTGGATTCTTCCAACACCTTCTCTGGTAAGGGCTTGAACTAATTAGGGGCCTATATTAAGATTGATGATCAGCCGGGCTCAGTGGCTCAGCCTGTAATCCTGCACTTTGGGAGGCTGAGGTGAGTGGATTGCCTGAGCCTGCAGGTTCGAGACCCGCCTGGGCAACTTGGCAAGACCTCATCTCTACAATAAATCAAAAAATTAGCGTGCGTGGTAGCACGCTCCTGTAGTTCCAGCTACTTGGAAGGCTGAGGCGGAAGGATCGCCGGAGCCCAGCAGGTCGAGGCTGCGGTGACTGGGAGTGGCCACTGCACTCCAGTCTGAGTGATATAGTGAGACTCCAACTCAAAAAAAAAAAAAAGAAGTTTGATGATCAAGGGAGACATCAGCTAGAACTGTAATTACATTTTCATAATAATGTGTTTATGTATTACTTGTATAATTGAAAATAAATTTAAAATGTTAGCAAATGGTAAGAACACCTTTGCCGGGCATGGTGGCTCACGCTTGTAATCCCAGCACTTTAGGAGGCTGAGGCGAGAGGATTGCCTGAGTCCAGAGGTTCAAGAACAGCCTGAACAACTTGTCAAGACCTCATCTCTACAATAAGTGAAAAAAATAGCTGGACGTAGTGGCACATACCTGTAGTTTCAGCTACTTGGAAAGCTGAGGTGGAAGGATAGTCTGAGCCCAGCAGGTCGAGGCTGCAGTGGCCATTAGTGTGGGTGACAGAATGAGACTCTGACTCAAAAAAAACCACATTTATTTATTTATTTGTTTATTTATTTATTTATTTTTGAGTTGGAGTCTCACTCGGTCGCCCAGAATGGAGTGCAGTGGCCACTCCCGGCCACCGCAGCCTCGACCTGCTGGGCTCCGGCAATCCTTCCGCTTCAGCCTTCCGAGTAGCCAGAGTTACAGGCATGCGATACCACGCCCGGCTGATTTTTTGATTTATTGTAGAGATGAGGTCTCGCCAAGTTGCCCAGGCGGGTCTCGAACCCGCGGGCTCAGGCAATCCACTCACCTCAGCCTCCCAAAGGTGCGGGATTACAGGCTGAGCCACCGAGCCCGGCTAAAAAAAAAAAACACCTTTAATATCACAAAACATAAATGGACAAGAAACATGAACAGACAGTTCATGAAGATACGGAAAGAAATGTTTAGTTGTAAACAACTGCAGATTATAACAACAAACTTGTCACATGTATATTGACTATTTGGATATCATCTTTGGGATGTGTTTAAGTGTTGTGCCCATTTTTCTTATAATGCCCATAAAAAAATCTGAAGAAAAAATAACACGGAATAGTTTTGTTTCTTTTTAAACAGAACGTCAGTTGAATTGCATTATTCTTTGATTCTGGAAATATCTAATCTTTACAAATTGACTAAATTGCTGCATAGTGTTCCCTAGTGTGCACATATTGTAATTTAACTCTTCCCCTGTCAAAGGATGTTTGAGTTTGCAATGACAGGCAACACTTCAGTCAGCATCCTTTTACATGCACTGTCAGTCTTCCCTAATGTAGTTATTGAGAAATGGAATTTCTACCCACAGGAAGTGAATGTATTTTTATTTTAATGGATATTGCCCAGATTCTTGCTAAGGTAGTTCCTTCCAGATTAAACTCCTCCCAGCAGTATATAAGTACTTGTGTCCCTGCACCATTATCAACAATTGGTTTTCTCAAACTCGTTAAGATTTTTCCTCTTTCATAACTAGTTTCAGTTAGCATAGATCTGATTATTATTGAACTTGAACATTGTTTTCTTTTTTTGGCTACTTGTCTTTCTGCTCTCTGTAAGTTGCCTCTTTATATCCTTTGTCAACTTTACATTAGGCTGCAGTGTTTTTTTTCCTGTATTGATTTGTCATTCTTTGTAAGTTTTATTCCATTATCTTTGCTTATATATGTTATGTGCATTTTCTCCATATAAGAATTCTTTATATAACAAAGCATAACAGCACAACACTGTCATTTTTGTTGCATATTTTTCTAAATCTGTTTGTCTTTTACTTGTTTTTTTTGTTTGTTTTTTTCTAGTTTCTACCATAATGGCATTATTTTTTCCTTAAATATTTGACAGATTTGTCAGTGGAGCCATCTGGGCCTAAAATTTTCTTTGTTAGAAGGTTTCCAATTATAGGTTCAATTTATTTGATCACTTATAGAACTATTCATATTTTCTGTTTATTTTTGTGCCAGTGTGGGTTTTTCTAGGCATCTATCTGTTCACCTAAATTTTCAAATTGATGAGCAAAAATATAGTGATATCCTTTTACTTGTCTCTAAAGTTTGTTGGATTTGTAATGATGTCCCATTTTGCATTTCTGATATCATTAATACTATTGCTTTATCTTTTTTTTTTCATTAGTTATTCTTACCAGGGGTATTAGTTTTAATCTTTTTTCAAAGAACTAGGTTTTGTTCATCCTCCCCAGCGAATGTTGATTTTACTTTCTTTTTTTTTTTTTTTTTTGAGTTGGAGTCTCACTTTCTCGCCCAGACTGGAGTGCAGTGGCACGCTCCCAGCCACTGCAGCCTCGACCTGTAGCACACACCTGTAGTTCCAGCTGCTTGGAAGGCTGAGGCGGAAGGATCGCCGGCTGGAACTACAGGCGTGTGCTACCACGCCTGGCCAATTTTTTGATTTATTATAGAGATGAGATCACGCCAAATTGCCTAGGCAGGTCTCGAACCCGTGAGCTCAGGCAATCCACTCACCTCAGCCTCCCAAAGCGCGGGATTATAGGCTGAACCACCGAGGCTGGCTGATTTTCCTTATTTCTTAAATATTGCCACTGGTTATAGAACTCTGGCTTGGTAATTCTCTTCTTTCAAGCCTTTGAAAATAGCATTCCGTTGTTTTTTAGCTTTCATTCACTCAGCACTGTCTTTTCTGTAGAGATTTTGAATATTTTCTTTGTCCTGGATTTTCTACAGTTTGAATAAGATAATGTCTAGGTGCAGTTTTCTGCTTTTTAAATTAGAATTATGAATTTTTGTTTTATATCTTTCTTGCATACAGAAATTGTCTATGATTATCTAATGGTATCTCTCTTTCCTTTGGTACTTTATTTATCTGTGTGGGAAAGACCTTGCCACTGTCTGCTCTCAAATGTTGAAAAATTGTGTTCTGGGTTTTCTATGGAATCAGTTTTGGAGATCTAAGTTGTTTTTAGTGTTTGATCTCCAAATTGATAATTATTCTAACAAAATATGTAAAATAATCTTTTAATTTAGCCTTTTGGTATATTAAATCCTTTTTTTGGTAGTAGAGTCTCTTCTAGAAGCAGCTGTTTGACATCTGTAGCTGCTTCTATTTAAAAGGAATATGCTTTAATCAAATTTTATTTAATGTGTCTCTTACCAATTTTTTAGGGCAGCACCCATGTTTTTCGTGTAAGGTGCCTGGTAAAGATGTGAAACGTTGTTCTGTTGGTGCTTGTGGGAAGTTTTATCATGAAGCCTGTGTTCGCAAATTCCCCACTGCCGTCTTTGAATCAAAAGGATTCCGCTGTCCCCAGCATTGCTGCTCTGCCTGCTCCATGGAGAAAGATATCCACAAAGCAAGTAAAGGTAAGACAGAGCTGAAGAAGGAAACATGCATTTTAAGTGCAGTGGCAAGTAATACATTAAGCACATTATTATAAACTGTATCAAGCATTCTTTCTCTGTTTATAGCTAGACTTAACAGTTCACTTATAATAGATCACATGTTAAGTAGGGATTAAGTTCCAAACTCAGACCATGAGGAGAAAGTTCTGTATGTTCAGAATTACCCATGAAAATCCCTTAGGTAGATGCCACATCAAAGCCAGACTAGTGAAGAAAAGGTGTTTTTATCTTGCTATAACTAACATCACATAGGAACCCACAAAGTCCGACTCTGAAATTCTCATTTCATGTCCAGCTAATGCCTGCTTATATGGATTCCTTTGTGGCTTGTCTTTACACAGGCCGCATGATGAGATGTTTGAGATGTCCAGTTGCCTATCACTCTGGAGATGCTTGCATTGCAGCTGGGAGCATATTTGTAACCTCCTACATTCTCATCTGTAGTAATCATTCCAAAAGGAGCAGTAATTCTTCTGCTGCTGTAAATGTAGGCTTTTGTTTCGTTTGTGCCAGAGGTAAGTGTCAATCTTTTCTCTTTATCCTTTTTAAGGTCGTTGGCATTAAAATAGAGTCTCAACGATGAGAGAGACTCAAACCATCTAGAACAAATCTCCCACCAGTGCAGAATTCCATTTTAGTATATCCCAAGAGAGATGAACATTTCCAGTAACTGTCTATTTTATAGTGTTAATTGTCCAAATTGTTAGAAAATTAATTCTTCCATAAGTTAAGTGAAAATCTGCATTTCTAAAAATAACTGCGTTATAGTTAAATTCTTAGTTTTTCTATTGAGAGCATCAAAAGATTAATCTTTTCCCTTCTGTAAACAATTCTTCTGTTGGAGGTAGATCCTTCCCATGTCCTATTCTTTAATCCAGAACTTTCAGCTGATTGAGATTTCACTTGGATGGTAAGACTAGCCCATTTATTTTTGAAGTGTTTATGTTGTATTTCATCATAGTGTTTTGGTCTGGCATTGAGAGAAGGCCTGATGGGACACAGCCAAGGCAACATATGTGGTGGTATTAGTTAAGAGTAAGTGATGAAGGCTTTCTTACTTGCCAGCTGTTGGTATTTAAGTATGCCAAGAGATTGATCAACTAAAAACAATATCATGTCCCTGGGGGGGGGGTCAGTGAACTTGAGTTTATGATAAATATAAAAAGGAACTTCTTTAGTTAAATATGATACAGAATATCATGCAGTATTATAATAAAACTTTTTTTTGGTACTTAGTAAACATTATAAAAACTCACTTATATCCCCAAATACTGTTTTTCTTTTTAATTTAAGTGCTAACTTTTCTGAACTTGCCTTGGTGTGAAGTATTCAGAAGGACTCTAAGGCCCATCAGGCCTGTTAGATATGTTTAGACTAAACTGAAGATGAAAGTGTTTTTTGTTTGTTTGTTTTTGCTTTAGAAGACAGTTATTTTAATTTGGTAGAAGTACTATAACAATAGTGTTTAAATAGCGTTTAGATAGTATGACATCTTAGGATGTTTTGCTTTTTCTATCTCTCATTAAAAAAAAAAAACCTAGAGAATGTAGGCAGTAAAAGATGAAATAAATGGTAGTTCCTTTGTGGAGTAGCCAACGAGATCCACAGTACACACTGCTTTCTGTTTGCCTGTTTTATAAGCACATGTGGCTGTCTGCCATCGGAGTGGGAAGCATTGTGTCTTTCCTTACTAGAGCAATTACTACTGTATCCTGCTCTGGATCTTTCCTGGTACATGGAGAAATAGGTCTGAAACGTTTTCTGTCACACTGTCACAGGTAACAGAAAGGATTTAAATAGGCATATAATAAGTATAAAGTATCACTAGTGCCTTTACCATCTCCCCATCCCTAAAAAAGTAACGATAGGAAGGAATTATTGGATTATTAATTGAATACTTAGCTTTAGGAAACCTTTAAACAGATGAGTGGCAGTGATAACAAAGTTTCTTATGCCTTTGCAGATTCTTTCTGTTCCACCATTCCTAGGCACTTACTTTTGCTGTCAGTGGAGTATAAGCATACGTAACTTAGCCTGCATTTTAAATATCAAGTTTATAACTATGATGTTGGCTTACTCCAGGGTATATTCTGAATCAAGTATCATCAGTATATTAACCAATATTTTCTTTTGCTCTGTTTGTTTCAATAATTTGGATACCTTGAAAGTAGGTATTTTCAATTTGGCACGTGTAGGTAATGGTCCATTTATAGAGAAACTCTAGCCATTTTGTTAACTTTAACTTATATACCTTGATTGAGAATAATGTAAATGGAGGGAAAACCCATGTTTTAACATGGAATCTGTATTTACATTTTGTCAATTTGTCATTTATTCTGGAAAATTACTGTATTTAAGCAAGATTATTTAATTCCCAAATATTTTAACAAATTCTATACAGTAAATAAAAACCTTCATCCACACAGAAGGAGACACTTTAATTATGTTTTGGTATTAGAAAGCTTGTTTTGCTTTTTTTCTTGCCTCATACAGAATTTGTTTCCTCCACAAATATTTTTTCCTTAGTCCTTGGCTGTTGGGTGTTTAAAATTATTAACTGAGTTCTTAAGGGCTGAAATGTCTAGAAATATCTTTAGAACTATTTTGAAGTTTAGAGGAACACTGTTCCTCCTCCACTTCTTGCCAACTTGTGGTGCCATAGGAAATGTTCATATTTGTTTGTTTGTTTTTCGTTGGGTCTCACTCAAATCACCCAGTCTGGAGGGCAGTGACACAATCACTGATCACTGCAGCCTTGACCTTCTGGGCTCAGACAATCCTCCCACCTCAGCCTCCTGAGTAGCTAGGGACTACAGGTGTGTGCCACCACAGCCGGCTAATTATTTACATTTTTGTAGAGACAGGCTCTCACTATGTTGCCTGGGCTGGTCTCCAATTCCTAGGCTCAAGCAATCCTCTTGCAAAACGCTGGGATTACAGGCATGAGCCACTACACTCAGCACGTTCAGACATTTTTCAGTATAGTATATATTCTTTAGCGTTTCCTTTTATCTAGAGGGTTGTGTAAAATAAATTACTGAACATTCTGTGCCTTTCTTTGTAATGGTAATTTAAAATGGATAAGGTAGGCTAGGATTTTCTTCTCATTTTAATAAGAAATAAAAGCAATGTATTTTGCATATGTAAATCAAACTCTACTAGACACTATTGGAATGAATTGCCACAATTGCCCTAGGAAGCTACTTTCTCATTTTAGGCAGATGAGAACATTGAAGCCCAGATTAAATAATTTACCCAATGTCATGCAAGTTGTTAAGTAAGGGCACCAGCATTTGTACTTGATCTTTCTTATTTCAAAGCCCATATGTTTTTTTGTTACACCGCCTCCATCTAGTAAATGTATGAAATTAATTAAAATATTATGTAACTTAAGGTTCTTATCTTATCAGCAGTTTAAAGTTTCATTCTATCATTTGGGTTGGAGATATTTCATCAAATTAAGATAAAACACAGATAAAAGTTAGTGGTAACCTCCCGTCCTTCAAAGTGATCTCTAGATAAAACTGCTGTCATAATTTATATTGTAAAGTCCTAGATCATTGTACACTGACTAGTAACCAAGATAGAAAAACTTTCCCTGGTCTCACAGTTCCCTGTGTTTAGGAGTGGCTTGTAGCCACATCATGAATCTAACTGGGGAGACAGGGAAGGGAAAGAAAGGAAGGAAGGCCAAGCAGGTCAACTGTGTTGGTCGACCAAAAGGGTTGTTTCTATAAACCCTTAAGTTGGTAATCACTCTGTGTCGTGGCAGGAAAAAAATTAAAATGGTTTGCATGACCTCAGTAAAGTTCAGAAAATTATGGCTTTTAAAAAAGTATCACCATATTGATAGAGAAAGATTTCATTTTCAGGCAGAGAAAATTAGGATTTATTTGAGTGTATCTCAAGATATAAGTAGAGAAAAGGAGAGACCTAATTTTGCCTTTAAATGCTACTTGATAGACTGAAGCTAGATCAGGGTCTACTACATTATGTAAATGATTCTTATCTCTAGCTAATTAAGTGGTATGTCATTGTGTTTGGGGTTATCATCACAGTACTTCTAAATATTAAGGAATGCAGCTTTGTTAAGGGAGTTTTCAGAATGATGTCAAATGCCATTTACATCCTCAAATTATTTGGAATTTTCTTCTGTAGTGTATAGGTTTCTGTATTGGGATAAGACACTGAGTAGCTCAAACTCCCTTTAATAACTGAAGGAAACCATCCTGTCAGATCTTTCCTTTTTTTTCATATTCTCTTTTTCCCCCCACCCTTAAAGCGCAGCTACATAATAGGTGTTGGTTTATTTTTTTTCTTCATGGAATCATGGGTAGTTTCATTGCAGCTCATCTCTTTCTGTTTGTTTCGTATAGGGCTGATAGTGCAGGACCATTCAGACCCCATGTTCAGTTCATATGCCTATAAGTCCCACTACCTACTGAATGAATCAAATCGTGCTGAGTTGATGAAATTACCTATGATTCCTTCTTCGTCAGCTTCCAAAAAGAAATGTGAGAAAGGTAATAATCAAAATAGTTTATCTCTTGCTTTTATTTTTGCATTTCCTATTTTTTTCTCTTTAAATGAAGGGGGGAAATGTATGCCTGTCAAGCACCATCTGTTGCTTTTGGTAAATTCTGCCTTGGTGGTTGTGACTGTTTTCATATGGCTGCACTATTACTAAAAAGGGCTTAAAATAATTCCATTATTACAAATTTTTATTTATTCTTCTCCTTGAATAAATTTTCATACATTTCCTATAAGTAGGGTATTAAAGTAGAAAGACTAGGATTTTGTTCAAGATGGAATAACATTGTAAATGTTCTTTCTCTTTTGCCTGGTGTAGAACTATCATTCTTGATAGAATAGAATAGACGCTGTATAATTTGTTACTAACCGCCAACTAAATAACAAGATAGGTTATTAAAAGAAGTAAACCAAGATACTGATACTTAAAAGTTTGATTTTAGAATACTTTCTATCATTTTGTTTCTCAAGTGTTTTGTTAAGATACTATGAAAACTAGGTGCCCTTAGGAGACATTGGTGGGAAGCTGGGGAGGAGGGTGAATACCCCAAATACTGAATGTTGGAAGGCAGCCCAACTGAATGGCTGATGGATAATTTATCCACAGAGAACTGAGAGTTAAATGTATATTTACATGTTCCCAGTTATTTTAATCTATGGAAGAAAACTTTATATCGTGTTTTGTTTTCTGTAGCCTACTTGTCATAAAGGAAAAAAGTACTTTAACAATAATGTATTATTTGGGAGATATTATTCCAGAGGGAAAAATAAATGAACTTGAAAGATGAGGACCTTTTCCTGTATGCGTTCATTCCCTTCTGACCTGGGGGCCAGGTTCAGAATTAAAGACTTAATTCATACCTAATATACCATATATGTATTCTACATTTATTTGAAAAGGACTTTTTTTTTCATTCTTTGTGTTGCCTGTTTGATGCATCTTTGCTCTTTGTCAGATATCCCAAGTGGCAACTCATTACTGTAATTATAACTAAGCAAGTTGACTGGAATCTGTCAGAAGTATGGGAGAGGATATTGGCTTGTTTGTTTGTTTGTTTGTTTTCCATTGAAGTCAGATTCTATCACCTTATTGGTGATGCCACCTACTTCAAAACAAAAAACAACAGTTTTGAAGAACTCCATAAATAGCCTACCTGAGGCATTTTAGGAAGTGCTTTATTTTCCTGCTGGCACTTTTATAAAATCAGATTAGTTCAGTTGTTACTTCCATTGTTTCCAGTACTCAGTATTAACCTTGACATGAATTGAAATTATTTTGAGCCCTCTGTTTGCTTAGCTTGAACCATATCTTCTCTTGCATCTTAAAGTAGTTGTCTTGCATAGCACCAAGGTGGATCACTCATATTTTCATTTTTTTCTATTTTCCTTGTATATTTTAAACATCTTTATTATGATGATTTTCACCAATGATTCTGGCTCTGTATTTCCTCTGAAATAACACTGAAAATTAAGGACTATTCCATTATGTTAAAAATGGCCAGTCTAATTTTTTCACATGTGTTAATAGTCGCATGTCCTTTAAAGCTGTTTGCAAAAACAGTTCTCCCTGTTGGTCATTTATTTCTGATGAAAAAGTAAATAATCTCATTTTACTTTAAAGTCATAGAAGAATTCCCTACCTAGGTTTAGAGCACCCAGGCAGCTAATCTCTAGATTGGAGAATTGAACCGATCATATTGAGATTGTAGTCCAAGGGAAAAAACTTCCAATGATTGAAGTAAAAGCTTTTAAGCAGAGGAAATATGGTAATTTAACTCATCGTTGGTTGCATATGGATTTTGTTTATGTGTTAATCAGTTAAAAGTATAAAAGTCTGCAAGAAGAAAAGGTTTTCTGGAAAATTAATAGCAAGTCCTCAAAATGTGGGAGCATGTGATTTGATAAAGTTGTATAGAGGACTCTTGACCTATGTTCATGACACTTTAAATCTTAGTACACTCATGGATTATAGACCTAATTTTTCATTGAGAAGATCCATTTTTTTGTAGTAAATATCTTTATTATATTTTATCTTAACAATTTGTCACTAGTTGAAATACATATTAGAAATATCTAACCCCTCCCCCCAAAAAACACCTATTTTTTACATTTTAAAATGTTACTTTGTTTGCCACACCTGTTTTGATCTCAATCCAGAGATGATTTTGTATATCTGAAAGGAGAGAGTTTTGATAGGGAACTTGGAGAAGGGGTCTCCTTGCATATGGTGCTTCAGTCTACACTGATAGTTACTTAGTTTTATGCTATAAAGCAGTGGTTCTCAATATGAAGTGAAAAAAGACTTATGTAAACAAATTTGAGCTATGTTTACTATTTCAGAAAATCTAACAGAACCACACATTTGTGCAAAATAAGGCTGCATGAGTTTGTTCCCCTCTTTGGCTATGATTTTAACAATTCGATACTACTAGTTATTGGTTGGCAGTTATATATTTCTTTGGTTATGGATTTTTTTTTGTTATTGATAAAATATTTGAAGACACGAGGGTTCATGAGGAAGGAAAGGGGAATTCCTTGTGATTAAAAACAAAAGTTGCAAACCACTGCTGTATAGCCTGTTCAGTTTTTTTATCTTCACTGAGAAGGTAATGATAATGTAGTCACCAATTTGAGGTTCTGTGTTCCCTTTGCTTTTTTTGTATTCTTTATGGAAAGAAAAAAGTATTGATCAACCTACTGGCTGTTTTCATTTTGTTAATTTTATTGTAAAGGGATTTAGTTAACTGTGGCACTGGATTAAAATACAAAGATGAGTATTGTTTTCTTATCTCTGAAGGAGAAAAGAAAGTTGCTACTAGTATATTTGAAAAACTTGCTCTCAAATCTATTGTCAAAAGATTTAATGCATCTGCTTTGTCATGTTAATAACGTTAGCTGCTTTCTAAACTAATACCTCAATAGCCCACATTTCAGAGGAGTAAAAAGTACAATAATGATCTTGGTACTACTCAAAAGCTCTGAGTTTCTGGCACTGAAGCCCTGAAAAGTAGCTAAATATGTTCATTTGGTATTTCAGTCCATCACTACAGGTATGACTTAATCCCTTTGCTGTTTTACCCCAATTTGAATTATTTGTAATGTGCTTAAAAGATAACTTACTCCTTTTTCTTTCTTTTTCTCTTTCCTCTGTTCTCAATTATTAAGACTGTTTGTTTGTTTCAAGGTGGAAGACTGCTCTGCTGTGAATCGTGCCCAGCTTCCTTCCACCCGGAGTGCCTGAACATAGACATGCCAGAAGGCTGCTGGAATTGTAATGACTGTAAAGCTGGCAAGAAACTACATTACAAGCAGATTGTTTGGGTCAAATTGGGAAATTACAGGCAAGTTTTTCCAAGGATAAAGAGAAATTATTCATCCCGCAGACCAAGTTCATAATCTGAATGCAGAGTGACTAGGAGATAGTTAAGTAGACAGCATGGACCTACTTCTTTAAAAAATAAATAAAAGAAATATGTTTTGAGCCAGGCTCTGTGGCTCAGCCTGTAATCCCGCACCTTTGGGAGGCTGAGGTGAGTGGATTGCCTGAGCCCCCGGGTTCGAGACCCGCCTGGGCAGCGAGACCTTATCTCTACAATAAATCAAAAAATCAGCCGGGCATGGTAGCGCATGCCTGTAATTCCACCTACTCAGAAGGCTGAGGCGGAAGGATTGCCGGAGGCCAGAAGGTCGAGGCTGCGGTGGCTGCTGCACTCCAGTCTGGGCAACAGAGTGAGACTCCAACTCAAAAAAAAAAAAAAGAAAAGAAAAGAAATATGTTTTGAGTCTGGGTTTTTAAGGGATTGGGAGAAAATTCATTGTTGAGTTTTTTTTCTTTTTCTTTGGGATTGGTTGATTGACTTTTGTTTTTAAATTCTAAAAGTTACTTTATACTATTAAACTATATATGACTAGATTTTGGAATAAAAAGTCTTACTTAGACGTGGAGATGATGTTTTCTTTGTGTCTTACCTAGATATATATCAATTTTTAAATTTCTTTTATTTCTCTTTTTTTTTTTTTTTTGAGTTGTAGTCTCACTCTGTCACCCAGGCTGGAGTGCGGTGGCACACTCAAGGCCACTGCAACCTCGACCTGCTGGGCTCAGGCAATCCTTTTGCCTTAGCCTTCCAACTAGCTGGAACTACAGGCATGTGCCACCATCCCTGGCTAATTATTTATTTATTTATTGTAGGGATGATATCTCACCAAATTGCCCGAGCTGATCTCGAACCTGTGGGCTCGGACAATTCTGTCACCTCAGCCTTCCAAAGTGCTAGGATTTATAGGCTGAGCCACTGTGCCCAGCGACTTGATTTCTAATAAAATCAGTAGTTTATATATTGACCAAAATAGCTCTTTGCTGAATCTAGTCCATTTTGTTCTAGCTAGAAGCCCTAAACTGTGTAAAGAGAGAGCTTTTTAGAAATCAAAGAGAGATTATTCCATTAAGAGCCTTTACTTGTTTAAGGAATGAAGCAGGAAGTATGTGTGACTGCCATTATTTTAATAATACTTTCTCCTTTAAAGCTTTTAACAATCCTTCATGGGACAGGTTTAGCAATGCATTTTTAAAGCTCTACATTTTGAGGCAAATATAGCAAAAGATAGCATAATAGGCTTCTGCTTTTCTGTTAGAACTCTAAGTAAAAAATATTTTTATAGAATTTCAAACATATTTTAATTTTTAAAGCAGGAGCTGTGGTTTTTTTTTTTAAGTTGGAGTCTCACTCTGTCCTCCAGACGAGTGCAGTGGCACACTCCCAGCCACCACAGCCTTGACCTGCTGGGCTCCGACGATCCTTCCGCCTCAGCCTTCCAAGTAGCTGGAACTACAGGCACACGCTACCATGCCCGGCTAATTTTTTTATTTATTGTAGAGATGAGGTCTCACCAGATTGCCCAGGCGGGTCTCGAACCTGCAAGCTCAGGCAATCCACTCACCTCAGCCAGCCAAAGTGTGGGATTACAGGCTGAGCCACCGAGCCCGGCTTGAGCTGTGTTATCTTCTATATGTTTTAAATGTGCTACATGCTTACCTATTTAATTTTAAAACTTTGTTTTTAGCTAGGATCAGAGGTATTAAGGTTGAGAAGGTTACCCTCCCCTTAATTTTCAACATATGGCAGGAATCCAAACAAAAAGGGAGTAGGGACAGTTTGAATATATAAACAATTTTGTATTGTATGTCAAAAGATATCATAAAGTGTTAAAAGACTAATATAAAACCAGGAGAAGGTGTTTGCTTTTCTATATTCAATAAGAAAAGAAAAATAACCTCATTAGAAAAAGAGGAGCAGAAAAAAAGAGCTAATTTGTTTTAAAAAAAAAAAAAGAAGGAAAAAATAGCAAATAGGAAATAAAGATGGAAAAATGCATAACCTCACTAAAAATAAATGTACATTAAAACAAAGATGGTTTTTATGTTCAATTAAAGGACTGGCAAAAATTTAAAATCTTAAAAATTTTGTGTGCCCTGCTTCCTGCAGGGCAGTCTGGAATCATATCAAAATTGTAACTGTGGATACCCTTTGACCCAACACTTCAATTTTATCTAAAGAAAAATTTGAATAAGCAGGCAAAAATATATTTACAGGGGTGTTCATTGCAGTATTATTTCTAATTGCAAATACTTAAATAACCCAAATGCTTAGTCAGTGGGGGATTTGTCAGACGAATTATAGCATATCCATATTGTCGAATGCCATAAAGCCGATTACAGGATAATGCAGATCTGTATAATAACTTGAGAAAATATCCATAATATATAATGTGTTATGCAGTTGTTTTAATTTGTAGCTCTAGATACAGCATGTTTTTAATACCTGGAAAGAAGTACATCATATGTTGTCTCAGGGATGAGATTACAAAAGGAGGCATTTTCATTTTTTTTTTATACATTTCTGCATTATTTTCATTTTTTTTTTTTTTTTTGAGTTGGAGTCTCACTCTGTCACCCAGACATGTGTGCAGTGGCTGCTCCCGGCCACCGCAGCCTCAACCTGCTGGGCTCCGGCGATCCTTCTGCCTCAGCCTTCCAAGTAGCTGGAATTACAGGCACGCACTACCACGCCCGGCTAATCTTTTGATATATTGTAGAGATGAGATCTCACCAAGTTGCCCAAGCAGGTCTCGAACCCGTGGGCTCAGGCAATCCACTCACCTCAGCCTCCCAAGGCGCGGGATTACAGGCTGAGCCACCGAGCCCGGCTGTTTTCATTTTTAAAAGAAGCACATACTGCTTTCAGAACTTAAAAATTACATATCATCTGAGGTGGGGAGGGATGCACAGTTTGACAATTGATAGATTTAAGACGTTCCTGGATACGAAAAATATAAAATACTATAAGAAGCCTTCTTCAGCTCTTCAAATAAATTTCAGTCATTTTTTTAAAGTGATGAATCTGAAAATATCTTTGACTTAAACTTAATTTTAATACTTAAATTTTAATCACCTTACATTTTAAAGGAACCCAAAGCAGTGCTTCAGTTGAATTCACAGTCCAACGAGATTTTATATCTAGGTCAGATTCTTCTTGTATGTTTTGGAAAGACTTCCATCCATGAACTAATTCTTAATGTATTTCTTTCCAATCAGGCCCAGTGGGGCTGCATGAAGCTGTTTATTTTCAGTAACTAGTTACTCCAGTGTGTTGCTTCCTGGGGAAAAATATGAGGACCTGGAACAACCCCTGGAAGAAAGTATGCCTTTTCCGAATTGACCCTAGTGAAGGCAGTAATTGTCTACATATTTAATCTTCATATACATATTTAATTTAAACTATTTTAAAATGGTTTACGCCTGCTTTGAGTATAAACCAAATACTTTTATCACATAAAATAGTGGTTTTTGTTTTGTTTTGCTTAAAATTTGAGCATGGATTCTTGCCCATATTTTTAATTCTTAGATGGACAGCAGGGTTGTTTTTCAAGTTCTGCAATATAGATATGTGAACCATGTCATTGTTGATATTCTCAGTGTAATTATTTATTAAATGTATAGTTTTATTAGGCATGTGTTAAATAAGAGATTGAAAAATTAAGTTTATATATATTAACTGTTGATATTGATGATTACTACAAAAGCCCATGTGAGGATCAGTGAGGTTAGCCATGTTTTCTGGCCTTTAGCTTCATCATTCAGTTCCTGACTTGTGCCTTGCTAGAAATGGTCGGCTTTCCTTACAGATGGATTCATTTAGTGATTGCTCTAGTATTCAGTTATTGTAGCATGAAACAGTTATATTTTCATCCTGTCCCCTATCCCATGTTTATTATCATCTAAGATGAATTAGATTCTGAACTTAAAGTGATATAAGACCTAATGCATTTGACCAAGAGGTGTTTGCCCAGGTTGATTAGAGATTAAAAAAATGCTGATTTGAATGGGAATTATTTACCATAGTGCCAGTTTAGTCTCAGAATGATTCCCTTAGCTACTAGAAATAAACCTTTATACCTTTAAAGATAATCTTGGTATTACATTTAGGGGAAAACATGACTTTTCTAACTTTTCTAGGATTGAAATTGGGTTTGAAATAGCATTGATAATATTCTAATTATTGAGTTGGGTAGTAGGGTCAGTGTTATTCAGTTATTCTCTTTTATAACTTATGTTTTTATGATATGGGTTATTTTATAAATATCAGATATTACTTTTTTTTTTTTTTTTGAGTTAGAGTCTCACTCTGTCACCCAGACTGGAGTGCAGTGGCTGCTCCCGGCCACTGCAGCCTCGACCTGCTGAGCTCCGTCGATCCTTCCGCCTCAGCCTTCCAAGTAGCCGGAACTACAGGCGCGCGCTGCCACGCCCAGCTCATTTTTTTGATTTATTGTAGGGATGAGGTCTCACCCAGTTGCCCAGGCGCGTCTCAAACCCACGGGCTCAGGCAGTCCACTCACCTCGGCCTCCCAAAGTGCTGGGATTACAGGCTGAGCCACTGAGCCTGGCCATTACTTTTTTTTTAAATCAACGTTTCATTTCACTCGCCCAGGTTGGAGTGCAGTGGCATGATTACAGCTCACTGCAGCCTTGAACTCCTGGGCTCAAGTGATCCTGCCTCAGCCTCCCAAGTGGTAGGGACTATAGGTACATGCCACCACATCTGGCTAATTTTTTGTAGAGAATAAGTCTCACTGTGTTGTCTAGACTGGTCTTGAACTCCTGGGCTCAGGCCTTCCAAAGTGCTGGGATTTATTGGCGTGAGCCACTGTGCCCAGCTCAGATATTACTTTTTAAAGAAAGAAACTGTAACAGGTGTTTAGGGCCTAATTAGTTTATGTTTACTATTTCATTAATTTGTTAATATGTTTTTAAATGATGTATGATTTGGATAGATTGAGGATAGGCAAGGTATTTTGTGTTCTTAATCTAAATGAAAATTATAAAATATAAAACCTTTTTTCCTTCCTGCCAATCTTGTAAACAGTGTGATTTTTTTTTAGTCTTTTTAGTCTAAAATTGCTTTTGTTTTCAGATGGTGGCCAGCAGAGATCTGCAATCCCAGGTCTGTGCCACTGAACATCCAGGGCCTTAAACATGACTTGGGGGACTTCCCTGTGTTCTTCTTTGGTTCCCATGATTACTATTGGGTCCACCAAGGCAGAGTGTTCCCTTATGTTGAAGGAGACAAAAGCTTTGCTGAGGGACAGACTAGTATTAACAAGACCTTCAAAAAAGGTAGGTTGGATGATGTTTACAGTGACTCAAAACTAAGACTCCAGTGTTGATTTTTTAACATCTCCTAACTTGCATATGACATATTTTGGGTACTAGAGAATTTTTACCAGGTATTGTGATCCTGTGTCTGTAAGCTTCCAATGGCATTAGAACCAGATTTGAAATACATTTCAGTTTAGTAGACATGTATGTGAAAGGAGTTTCTTTAATAACCTTTCTATAAGCAGATTATTCTGGAGATAGTCTTTTTAATCAAGTGAAGCTCCTTTGCCACAGAGAGTAATAAAGGCTTTCTATGAAGAGCCTTACAGCTGGTTTTGCAGTGAGTTGCCAGGAACTTTGGGTTTCTGGGTAAGAGTAGAATGAATTTAAATCTAGTAAAAGGTTAAAAACTGCTTCTAGGGTTACTTGGGGGCCTCTGATATTGAAGTGGAACCTCTTCCCTGAGGCAACAGCATGCACAAAGCATAGTGTTCACTGAGTTATATCTTATTTCATTGTGAGCTATATCCTATACCCTATCCTGGTAGTAAATGGCAATTCGAATACAACTTCATAAAGAAAATCTCAAGCCTGATGCTGAGCTTTGGAAATGAGGTGTAAAACTACTCTCCCAACAGTTTGTGCTTAGTTTTTTTATTTATATACTTTGCTTGGTCTTATTGGCAGCACTGGAAGAAGCTGCAAAACGTTTCCAGGAATTGAGAGCAGAAAGAGAAAGTAAAGAAGCCCTAGAGAATGAAAAAATCTCAAAAAAACCCCCTCCTTACAAGCATATCAAAGTAAGTCTTTACCCATTAAAGCATTGGTATTTGACAGACAAGATGAAATGCATTACTGTCTACATAAAGGCCCTTTTTGTCCTATGAAAACTTTTGGTAGTTATCATCCAGTCTTCTGTAAAACAACTGAGAGCTCTTGTTAGAAGCATCAAATGGGAACCATAGCTGCGTGCTGTGAGAGTTAGGTCTTTGATAAGCCCCATCATACCTAGGAGCAACATGTTTTTATGTGAAATCCTGTTCTGGGTCTACCAGGTTATTCTGCAACCAAGTAGGAATATAGGTATTTAACTTCTTTATTCCAGAGAACCCACAAACAAGCATGGTTTCTCTTGTTTTCAGTTTTGAAGTTTTTGTCAACTAGTGGAAGGAGAATATGTAGGATAAATAAGTGAAGATTCATATCAGGCTTTGATATTTTTGTCAACTAAGGGGAGATGGTTATTCCTAGTTTTTTCATGGGGAAATTTAGATTAAAGAGCCTTTCTCAGAGTAGTTCCACAAGGCAGTAGCATGGATGTTTTAGATGTTCCTAAATTGCTAAAAGATTACCTACCTTCTTCCTCTTATTTGTGATTTTGTTTTCTAGGCTAACAAAGTAATAGGAAAGGTACAGATCCAAGTTGCTGACCTGTCAGAGATTCCCCGCTGTAACTGCAAACCAGCTGACGAAAACCCTTGTGGCTTGGAATCGGAGTGCCTGAACAGAATGTTGCAGTATGAGTGTCACCCGCAGGTGTGCCCTGCTGGAGATCGTTGTCAGAATCAGTGCTTTACCAAGAGGCTGTACCCTGATGCGGAAATCATCAAAACGGAGCGAAGAGGCTGGGGCCTTAGGACCAAAAGAAGCATTAAGAAGGTAGCAGGGGGTAGAAGTGGGGGTGGAAGAGACCGGAACCTGTACCACTTAGGGATAATTCAAGGGATAAACAGGGATTTATGGCAAAACTTTGAAATTTCCCATGTTGAGAGCTTGTACTTCTGAGCAAGGACAAAGTGGTAGAAAAAGGATAGTAATAAAAAAATGTGCGTACACCTTGAGTGTCCTATGGTCAGTTGAAATAAGAAGGGACATGGGTAATTTTCTATGTGAAACATCTTTGCCCTTGTTAAGCAAAATGATTTAAAAGTCTTAGTAAAGACAAAATAGTAAAGTTAATATACTGAGATAGAAACTAGCAAACCTAGGACTTTGCTCCAGCATCATAATTCATTAGCTGTGAACCCATGGCCAAATCACCTAACCCCCCAAGGCTCTGTTTCCTCGTCTCTAAAATGGACATGTGGACATTCCATGCTCTACAAATTTAAAGGTTGTTGTAAAACTTCAATTCGATGTAATCCCGCGCCTTTGGGAGGCTGAGGTGAGTGGATTGCCTGAGCCCGCGGGTTCGAGACCCGCCTGGGCAGTGAGACCTCATCTCTACA